GCAACATTCTTTAAGTGCTGCTGCACAAACTGATGTAACGATGTCACACATTGCTGAACTGCAAGATGAAATTGGCTTCCTAAAAGAACTTGAATCTAAACTGAGAAATGACGTAAAGAGTCTGATGGACGAGAGTAACCAACGTGAGGTCAACCACTCATTTAAAATCTCAGATATACGATGCCATAATGATTCTACTATAAAAGAGCTTCAGGATCAAATGGCTGAACTGGAATGCCAAAACGAAATCTGGATTATGAAAAAGGACGACGAAATCAGAAAATTGCAACAACTAATTACAAACCCGAAGCAGGCTGGCACTTAACCAGAACCACCTGTGCAGGAAGACGTTGCATTTTATAGGGAGCAAGTTGAGTTCTCCCAGAACATGTACAAAAATGAGATAATAGGTGGAGAGTTACGTATAAACCATAGAGAAAATCTTCAGGCAGTTAAACTAGAAATATGTCTACCCTTGTTTAGTGTTTACGATTATTGCAGGGTTTGGACAAAGTTTAGGGCTGATCCCAGTGCTCACAGTGTACAATTTTCAGCTAATAAATCTTGAATTCTGAGGTAACAAAATCAACTAGAACTCTGAAAAAGTGATTTATCAGAAATCATGCCCTTACTTCCATGATAAGAGGGATTCGTAAAAATTATAAGCAGGTTGTGGCTTATTATCTAGTAAAAGATACAAGAATCCCAGATCTGAAAACGATTATTGTTCATGTGATCACAAACTAGCAGCGACTTGGTTTGTGCGTTGTTGGCACTATTTCTAATCAGGGCGCAACGATCAAAAACGCACTTGAGACGATTTGCTCGGAGAATACTCACGGATCAAGTCCATTCCATTTTATAGTCAATGCTCAGAGTATTTCTACAATTTGTGATGAACCACATTTATTCAAAAATGGATGAAATGCTCTTATTGACATTAATATGAAAGTGAAGAAGCTGCACAGATTGAACATGTCTAGAAATCATATAATGTTGATCAGCAAACAAGACCATACAAAGAGCTATGTAAATTGAAACCCAGCCACTTTGATTTTATAGATTCGTTCAAGAATATAGAAATTAATCCTTTAATGATATCGTCGGATGATTCGAGCTTTCTCAGTTATGTGGTGGGGGTCCCGTGACTTCTCATACGGTATGAGCACGTATACCTCAAACCACAGTTTAATTTAAACATCACAATTGTTGGTTTGTTGACTTTGCGGTCAAATTTGATCCGAGGATGTCAGTTGCGTGTACGATTTGAACTTCCTTCACAATGGATTTTTTCGTTGTTGACGGATGAACAATACACTATAGACTACGCCGGAGGACGACGCTGCTATCGATCAACCTGAACAACTTCCTATGGGCGACCTCGCTATGCCTATGGAAAAAACATGTACAATTGGTCAAAACGAGCGCCTGCAACTGGTCGATTATTACGCATTTACCTGAACTAAAGTCCGTGGCAACCAATTTGGAAAATAATAACCCTGTGACTCGAGAAATGCCGATAAATTTCTCCAAATACGTGAAATTTTCGAGACACTCATAGAGAACTGTCGAAATTGTTATATTTCGGGTGAGTCCCCTACAAAATACGAGATGCTCGTGGGCCGATGTCCTTCCTGTGCCTACAAGAAAACTAAACCGAATAAGTATGGACTGATGATGCAAAGACTCACCACTACCTGCTCAATGCTTTCGTCTATACGAACAGAAATATCACAGCAGATGACTGGTTCACGTCAGTAGAATTACATGTAGAATTGCGCATCAACCAACTGACCTATGTCGGCAGGAAGCGTAAAAATAAGTAACAAGTACCCCAACATGTAGTTCCAAATAAGAAGGAAACACAGCCAGGTACTTCTAAGTTTATGTTGTACAGCCTTAGAGTAGTATCTTCCAAAACCAAATACACATGTTCTCGTATAGCAATCTATGCAGCATGATAACAAAATAGTAGGAATCAAAGAAACCTGATAAGATCCTATATTATTTTTATAACACTATGAAGGCGGGGGGTAATGCATTAGATCGGAAGTGTGTAAATTACAATACTGGTTAGAGAACGAGAAGATGGCCTTGTGCTATTTGGTATCCAACCAGCTTCTGTAAATTCCTTTTTTTTTCAGTCTGGGACTGAAAGTTCCATTAGGCGACGAAATTTTATTGTTCCCCTGAGGCAAACTCTAATTTAACTTCGTATGAGAGGACGTTTATCAGATCCAAGACTTCCTAGGGAGCTTCGTTCAGCCATGCAAAGAATCCTAAATTACCAACGACGAATAAAGTAAGCCGTCTACTTCTCAGCCCAGAGTTCTCGATCCTGATGCAGTTGTTAAAGAAAAAAAACGACGTAGGTGTTACATGACAATACACAATGAAAAAAATGTTCTACAATCTGTAATAAGTATGTAAAGTCACAGCGCACTTACATTGTTTCGTGAAAAGTGATAAATGTTAATTATTGTATGTTTCCTTATACGAGAAAGTATTTGTTTTTGTTGTAGAATATCAACACCAAATATGTTGTTAAATGGCCCATTTTGTTAGTTTTTTTATGTTCATATTACAGTTCAAGTTTCGAGGATTATATTTATTGCATTACTCATCTTCAATGGGGTATTTTCGTTTTTAGACAATAAACAGTTTTCATGTAAGAGTGTCTTATGCGTACAAACCTGTTGTACACATGGCTAAAAACAGTAATGGCATTTCAGATGTTGATAGTAAGATCCGGTGGATAACCTGTTTTGCGAGATTAGACGTGGGATTTCCAACACGAACACCATCTGTTTATTTGAAGCATTAAAAACTGTAATAATCAACAATTTCAGTTTTCCATTGACAATAATGAAGAATTATGAAGGCGATTCATGTAAGGCACTAGGTAACTTCGCGTTGCTTTTAGAAGAGTATTGTCTGAATAGACAACAGTTACCTTGTGATTCTTCACCGAGCTGCATTTTTCAAGTTGAAAAATCGGGTGCTGAAAGTGATGGATCTATAGATTTGTGAGAATTTGCTGCTGCTTCAACTTCTTTTTGTAATAACAATAACAGTCTATATGAAATTTAACAATTCTGTTTCTTCTTTGATTTTGAGTCACCCTGTAAATGTAGCTCTACTAAACTATCGGACCGCATTCATAGCCTACAAGAGAAAAAAATCTTCTATACTGGAAAGGAGGAAAAAAAGAATGTATCAACCTGATACATCTGCCCCTCTTTATAACCCGTGAAATAGCCCTAGTTCTAATTAAATTTCAGTTCAAGCTTCCAAAATGACTTCCAACAATATTAAAGTAGCCACAAAGATCAGACCAATGATCCACCGCGAAGTAGCCGATGGTCTAGAGCGTCTTTGGAACGTAAGAGTAAACTGCATATGGGAAGCCGATGAAAGTAGTCGCCATGGAGAGGTTTATATATTCGACCATGTATTTAATCAGGAATGTACAAATTCAGATGTATATGGATCTGTAGTAAAACCTTTAGTCGATTCCTTCATGGAAACATCTTCTGGCAAAACACACACCATTTTGGGCAATAAAACAGATCCTGGGCTTTTCCAATTAGTATCCAATCAGTTATTCCAGCATGTGGCAGACCAGGTTGATAAGAGGTACTTGATTAGATGCAGTTATATTGAAATCTACAATGAAAAGATCAATGACCTCCTGGATAAGAGCAATCAGGGTTTAACTATGAGAAGATATCAAAGGAAATGTGCTGCTTGATGCAAGGGAAGCTGTCGTAGACAATGTTGATAAAGTTATGGAGAACATGATGCAGGGCAATAAGATCAGACGAGTTGCAGCTACTCGCATGAATGAGAGGTCATCTCGATCACACACGATTTTCCGGATTATTCTGGAGTCGAAAGATGCCAATCAGAAAGATGGACCTGTACATATAAGCTACCTTAACTTAATGGACTTAGCTGGTTCTGAGAGAGTTTCTCTGACGAAAGCTGCTGGTGAGCGTCTTAAAGAGGGGGCTAACATAAACAAATCTTTGTCAGTATTAGGAAATGTGATAAGGCAACTAAGCGAGGGGAAGGAGTTTATCAGTTATCGCGATTCGAAATTGACTAGACTGCTCTCACAGGCTCTTGGCGGTAATGCCAAATCATTGATTATCGGGAATGTTACTTTAGCTGCAGAGGAGGAGACTAGATCTACACCAGAATTCGCCCAAAGCACTAAAACTGTCAAAAATAAAACGAAAGTAAACATCTTGTCAGCTACAGAAGAGACACTTCAAGGATATCAGAACTTGACTCGCGATCTCGAAACTCGGCTCAAAAAGCAGGCAATTAAGCTAAAAGAGATGGATAAAAGCAAACAAGAGTATCTGCTCGAGATAGAAAGACTAAAAACGGAAGTATCTATTGTCGGGCGCTTTCAAATGGGAGCCTCGGCATCAACACCGAAAAAACATTAAGACGTCATACTTTTGGACACTATGGCAACGTATCACCTAAAAAAGCATCCCTAGGGTATATGCCATTGAAAAATTATCCACCCAAAGAAGAATCATCCGGACGTGAAATGAGGCCTATTCAAGAAGAGACATATGAGGAGGCACTAGCCGAAGCAGAATCTGTGATAGCTGAAGACGTGCAAGTGTACTTAAAAGACAACGCAAAGAACTGGAAGAATCTTTCAATGAGCTTAGAGAATTCACTAAACTAGATAATCAGCTGGAGATTTTGGACCTGAAGAAACAGCTCACAGAAGCCAATTCTAAAATCGATCGTTACAGTCAGGAACTCCGCCAAGTAACGGATGCGTACAACGAAGAAATAGAAAGAGTTCAAAAAAATTCTCAAAAAGCGCAAGAATTTCATCGACTTGCAATACAGACTCGATTTTCTGGAAAAAAATAATAAAAAGACTAAAAACATACGAGTCAGAAATAGAGATGCTGCGTACTCAACTGAAGAACCTAGGAAGATCAGAGAGCCCTAAACCATCTCTTGAAGCTCAAAATATTGAGTCAAAAAAGAAGGTTGCAGACTTAGAAGCTATGCTTGACGCTGAGTACGAAGATATGCAAGATTCTTTAAGTGCTGCTACACAAACTGATGTAACGATGTCACACATTGCTGAACTGCAAGATGAAATTGGCTTCCTAAAAGAACTTGAATCTAAACTGAGAAATGACGTAAAGAGTCTGATGGACGAGAGTAACCAACGTGAGGTCAACCACTCATTTAAAATCTCAGATATACGATGCCATAATGATTCTACTATAAAAGAGCTTCAGGATCAAATGGCTGAACTGGAATGCCAAAACGAAATCTGGATTATGAAAAGTGCCCCTCTTATAACCCGTGAAATAGCCCTAGTTCTAATTAAATTTCAGTTCAAGCTTCCAAAATGACTTCCGACAATATTAAAGTAGCCACAAAGATCAGACCAATGATCCACCGCGAAGTAGCCGATGGTCTAGAGCGTCTTTGGAACGTAAGAGTAAACTGCATATGGGAAGCCGATGAAAGTAGTCGCCATGGAGAGGTTTATATATTCGACCATGTATTTAAGCAGGAATGTACAAATTCAGATGTATATGGATCTGTAGTAAAACCTTTAGTCGATTCCTTCATGGAAGGTTTCAATGCCACAATATTTGCATATGGCCAAACATCTTCTGGCAAAACACACACCATTTTGGGCAATAAAACAGATCCTGGGCTTTTCCAATTAGTATCCAATCAGTTATTCCAGCATGTGGCAGACCAGGTTGATAAGAGGTACTTGATTAGATGCAGTTATATTGAAATCTACAATGAAAAGATCAATGACCTCCTGGATAAGAGCAATCAGGGTTTAACTATAAGAGAAGATATCAAAGGAAATGTGCTGCTTGATGCAAGGGAAGCTGTCGTAGACAATGTTGATAAAGTTATGGAGAACATGATGCAGGGCAATAAGATCAGACGAGTTGCAGCTACTCGCATGAATGAGAGGTCATCTCGATCACACACGATTTTCCGGATTATTCTGGAGTCGAAAGATGCCAATCAGAAAGATGGACCTGTACATATAAGCTACCTTAACTTAATGGACTTAGCTGGTTCTGAGAGAGTTTCTCTGACGAAAGCTGCTGGTGAGCGTCTTAAAGAGGGGGCTAACATAAACAAATCTTTGTCAGTATTAGGAAATGTGATAAGGCAACTAAGCGAGGGGAAGGAGTTTATCAGTTATCGCGATTCGAAATTGACTAGACTGCTCTCACAGGCTCTTGGCGGTAATGCCAAATCATTGATTATCGGGAATGTTACTTTAGCTGCAGAGGAGGAGACTAGATCTACACCAGAATTCGCCCAAAGCACTAAAACTGTCAAAAATAAAACGAAAGTAAACATCTTGTCAGCTACAGAAGAGACACTTCAAGGATATCAGAACTTGACTCGCGATCTCGAAACTCGGCTCAAAAAGCAGGCAATTAAGCTAAAAGAGATGGATAAAAGCAAACAAGAGTATCTGCTCGAGATAGAAAGACTAAAAACGGAAGTATCTATTGTCGGGCGCTTTCAAATGGGAGCCTCGGCATCAACACCGAAAAAAACATTAAGACGTCATACTTTTGGACACTATGGCAACGTATCACCTAAAAAAGCATCCCTAGGGTATATGCCATTGAAAAATTATCCACCCAAAGAAGAATCATCCGGACGTGAAATGAGGCCTATTCAAGAAGAGACATATGAGGAGGCACTAGCCGAAGCAGAATCTGTGATAGCTGAAGACGTGCAAGTGTACTTAAAAGACAACGCAAAGAACTGGAAGAATCTTTCAATGAGCTTAGAGAATTCACTAAACTAGATAATCAGCTGGAGATTTTGGACCTGAAGAAACAGCTCACAGAAGCCAATTCTAAAATCGATCGTTACAGTCAGGAACTCCGCCAAGTAACGGATGCGTACAACGAAGAAATAGAAAGAGTTCAAAAAAATTCTCAAAAAGCGCAAGAATTTCATCGACTTGCAATACAGACTCGATTTTCTGGAAAAAAATAATAAAAAGACTAAAAACATACGAGTCAGAAATAGAGATGCTGCGTACTCAACTGAAGAACCTAGGAAGATCAGAGAGCCCTAAACCATCTCTTGAAGCTCAAAATATTGAGTCAAAAAAGAAGGTTGCAGACTTAGAAGCTATGCTTGACGCTGAGTACGAAGATATGCAAGATTCTTTAAGTGCTGCTACACAAACTGATGTAACGATGTCACACATTGCTGAACTGCAAGATGAAATTGGCTTCCTAAAAGAACTTGAATCTAAACTGAGAAATGACGTAAAGAGTCTGATGGACGAGAGTAACCAACGTGAGGTCAACCACTCATTTAAAATCTCAGATATACGATGCCATAATGATTCTACTATAAAAGAGCTTCAGGATCAAATGGCTGAACTGGAATGCCAAAACGAAATCTGGATTATGAAAAGTGCCCCTCTTTATAACCCGTGAAATAGCCCTAGTTCTAATTAAATTTCAGTTCAAGCTTCCAAAATGACTTCCGACAATATTAAAGTAGCCACAAAGATCAGACCAATGATCCACCGCGAAGTAGCCGATGGTCTAGAGCGTCTTTGGAACGTAAGAGTAAACTGCATATGGGAAGCCGATGAAAGTAGTCGCCATGGAGAGGTTTATATATTCGACCATGTATTTAAGCAGGAATGTACAAATTCAGATGTATATGGATCTGTAGTAAAACCTTTAGTCGATTCCTTCATGGAAGGTTTCAATGCCACAATATTTGCATATGGCCAAACATCTTCTGGCAAAACACACACCATTTTGGGCAATAAAACAGATCCTGGGCTTTTCCAATTAGTATCCAATCAGTTATTCCAGCATGTGGCAGACCAGGTTGATAAGAGGTACTTGATTAGATGCAGTTATATTGAAATCTACAATGAAAAGATCAATGACCTCCTGGATAAGAGCAATCAGGGTTTAACTATGAGAAGATATCAAAGGAAATGTGCTGCTTGATGCAAGGGAAGCTGTCGTAGACAATGTTGATAAAGTTATGGAGAACATGATGCAGGGCAATAAGATCAGACGAGTTGCAGCTACTCGCATGAATGAGAGGTCATCTCGATCACACACGATTTTCCGGATTATTCTGGAGTCGAAAGATGCCAATCAGAAAGATGGACCTGTACATATAAGCTACCTTAACTTAATGGACTTAGCTGGTTCTGAGAGAGTTTCTCTGACGAAAGCTGCTGGTGAGCGTCTTAAAGAGGGGGCTAACATAAACAAATCTTTGTCAGTATTAGGAAATGTGATAAGGCAACTAAGCGAGGGGAAGGAGTTTATCAGTTATCGCGATTCGAAATTGACTAGACTGCTCTCACAGGCTCTTGGCGGTAATGCCAAATCATTGATTATCGGGAATGTTACTTTAGCTGCAGAGGAGGAGACTAGATCTACACCAGAATTCGCCCAAAGCACTAAAACTGTCAAAAATAAAACGAAAGTAAACATCTTGTCAGCTACAGAAGAGACACTTCAAGGATATCAGAAC